GGGGGGCGGGGGAATCGTGTACATGTGTTTGGAACTATTGAAATGCCGTTTTCGTACAGTGTTTTTATAATTCAACTTTTAGATTTTCCTTGTTTTTTAAGGAGTTGATATGCTTGCTTGACTTTTATCTCATTAAAACTTTTCTATGTTGAATCAAAAAAAAAAAAAAAAGCCCAATGTTCATTCTATGTCCCAATGTGCCTTTCTAACAAGAGAGGAAGGGGACCACCCAAGAGCCAAAAGAGTTCCTTTGGCCAATTCATCATGTGAATAGTTCTGTGCAGCAGCACAGAACAACAGTCAGACCCCGGGTGACACCAGGGTAATATGGCTGAGTTGGCCCTCTCTAAACTCCCAGGGGGAAGCCTCAAGCCCCAGGCAGCCTATTTGGAGAAAGGAAGGCACTAGGGTTAAATGGGGTCGTGATGTGAGGTCCTGACCTGGCAAGGTGAGTGCTCTTGGAAGAGACACTGGATTTCCTCTCCCCTTCTCCCTGCCATGTGAGGATAGGCTGAGGTGGCCAGGAAGAGACAGAGAGACAGAAAGCGAGAAATCACCCCCCTTCCCCCGGGGGAATGGCCACGCCGCAATCCCTTCTCCTCTATTCTCCTCTTGGGATCTTGGGCACACACGCACACACGCCCGGCATGAGTTTAAGTCACCGGGTGTGGGACTCAAACCACAATCGACTACATGGGAGTCCAACAACATAGCCATTATACCAACTGCTGGTCCCTAGATATTAAAATTTATCATAGGCAAATAGCAATATGATAGTACATATTAATGATGGTGGTTGCTTCTGAATGAGCTATTGCAAGCGCACCACCTTCATCACGTCTCCACACACTCTTTATGAAGTGTTTCTGGCCCCATTACCAGCCCTTCTTATCCCAACATCATTTCTCACTGAGTTTACATTTATCACTCCCATGCATATTTTAATGATTTTAGTTCAATGCACATTTTTGTAAAAAATACTAAGGACTGTTTTTGAAGGTTTTAAATCTCATCTAAATCATATTGCAATGCTGTTTTTGAGACTGTTTCATCGTTACATGTTTAGTTCTGGTTCATTCACTTTGCTGCACAATGCTGACATTTATGAATAATTTCACAATTTATTTACTTTCCTATTAACAAACATATAGAATGTTTCCAGTTTCTTCTTTTTACAAACAATATTTCTATGAACGTTACACATTTCTCCTTGTGCGCCTGTGCCCAAGTATCCCACTGGTATATACCTAGATGCAGAGTTGCTGGGTCGTAGAGTAGACTACGTACATTCTCAGCTTCATCACAGAATCAGCATCATTTTGCAAAGTGGTTGTGCTCCCCGTCACCCCACCAGCAGGACATAGGAGTTCCATGCTCCACGTTCTGATGGACTCTTAGAATTGCCAGGTTTCGTATGTTTTGCCAAAGAGTGTGAAATGGTCTCTCACCCGGATTCTATTCACAATTTGAACTTCTCTGAGAAGTCGCGATGTCACTTATCCCATGTTTCGTGCCAAGCCTGACTCCTCTCCTGTGACTTGTATTTCCTGTCCTTTCCATCCACTACTGTGTTTCTGGTCTCCAGTTTATTGTTTTAAAGGATTTGGGGATTTTTAATATCTCCTGAACACTGCACTTATTAGTTACATGTTGTGCAAATATTTCTCCACCCACAGCTCTTCACTTTATCCCTTATTAAGGAATGTAACTTTTGTTTCAAATCTAGTCAATTAGGTCTACATTTTCTCTGCCTCCGCGGCTTGTGTTTTTTTGTGTTTCTATTTAAATTCTTTTGCTACAATAACTTGAGATATTCTCCAATATCTCACCTTGGGTTTGAAGCATTGCCTTTATCTCTCGTCACCCGGGTTTTCTGTGTGTGTGGATGAAGCAGGGCTCCAGTGTTAAAATTTGCGTGGACTCTCACAGTCCAGTTCACTGAATAGCCTGCCTGTCTCCATCTGGTTGATTGGCACTGCCTTGCCATAAATTGTTTCTAATATGTGTGCTTTTCTTCTGGGTTCTCAGATGTGTTTGTTTATAAACCAAAGTTTTGCCTTTAAGCTAATTTCACACCATCTTAATTACTTGAGCTACAAAATAAGTCTTCAAAGTATATCCCACCCACTTCTTCTTCAAAATCATCTTCTCTATGCTCAATCATGCAGTTTTCCTTTTAATTAGATTATTAAATGAAAACATCTTGGGACCAGCAGTTGGTGTGATGGCTATGTTGCTGGATTCCCATGTAGTCAACCACAGTTCAAGTCCCCAATCCGGTGGCTTGAACTCACACCGGGCGCATGTGCGTGCATGCCCAAGATCCCAAGAGGAGAATGGAGGAGAAGGGATCGCAGTGTGGCCATCCCCACTGGGGGGTGATTTTTCGCTTTCTGTCTCTCTGTCTCTCTCTGTCTTTCTGGCGAGTGCACACAACCTATAGCAAAAATCTCTCCAAAAAAAAAGAAAACATCTTTTTTTTGCAATTAGATTCCAATAGTGTTAAATTTGTGTATTGATTTAGAGTGAATCTGTAGATTTAATTAAATCTCTTCATCTATGAAAATGGTAACCTCTCCATTTATTTACATGTGTTGTTCACGTCTTTTGGGAAAGCTGTAAAGTTTCTCCATAAAGGTTTGACCTATTCTTTGCCAGGCCTAATCCCAAGCACCATAGAATTATTTGTTTTTGTTTTGAATGGGTTATTTTGGTAATTATAATTAGTACATTATTTAACTAAACATTCTAATTATTGTCTTTTTAAAGATAATTCCGTTGATTTTTGTACATAGTTATTTTACCCAGAAGCTTTGGTGAATTCTCTTATTTTACAATTTGTTAGCAAGTCAGGGTGTAGTATTGATGCATATAGTCATATCATTTGCAAATAACAGTTTGGTTACTTCTTCCTAGTTCTTATTCATTTTTTTTCTTTTTCCAGTCTTACATCCTTATCCAGGAGCTCCACCCAAGTCATTACATAAAGTTCACAACCAGACAAAACCATAGTAGCTAGGAATGCCTTTGAAGATATGAAAGTATGAGGAGAAGTCAAGTCCTCCGAAAGCCTGGAGGATGGTGACCCTTCGGGAGGAGAGAGAAACTGTGATTGGGAAAAGGTGCCTGGTGGGTAGTGGACTCACAGCAAAAATGGGTAGAATGTTCACGGTGTTCCAGTTGTAGTAATTTACCAGTCTATACTTTTTTGCTTCATACAACTTTTTTTTATGAGTTATCATTTACAATTTAAACTTCATAATTGCTTAAAAATGAACTGGGGAGAATTCCCTGATTTCATATGCTCTGGAGCTGTCTACAAGATATTAGCATTATCTGATCCTTGAATATAAAAAATCAGCTTTAAACTCTTTGGCTGTGGTGGGTTGTTTCTATATGTCTATTGAATTTCTTTCTTTTTTTCCTTTTTTTTTTTGGAGAGGTTTTCGCTATAGGGCGCGTGTGCTCGCCAGACAGAGAGAGAGACATAGAGACAGAAAGCGAGAAATCACCCCCCAGAGGGGATGGCCATGCTGCAATCCCTTCTCCTCCATTCTCCTCCTGGGATCTTAGGCATGCACGCACACGTGCCTGGTGTGAGTTTTAAGCCACCGGGTCCGGGACGCGAACCATGGTCGACTACGTGGGAGTCCAGCAACACAGTCATTACGCTAACTGCTGGTTCCCTTGATTGAATTTCTTAATACTTATAATTCCATTCTTGTGTTTCATTTCTTATTCAATCAGTTTTCCTAAACTAGATTTTTCTAAAAACCCAGTTTCTTTCCTTTTCTTTGACATAAATCTATTCAAAGGGATCTTAAATTTTAAGTCTGTGCCACATTAGTATTTTTGCTCATTGTTTTATTATAAATTTTAGCTGTATCTACCCACTTTAAGGTGATTTCCATTTTCTTCTTCATTCTTCATTTTGCACTTTTTGAATGTCTTGCCAAGAGTGTGAAATTACTTGTATAATCTTTAAGGATCTAAGAGATCTATTTCAATTCAGAGAGGGATAAAAAAAGGTCTCTTAAATTTTTTCAATAACATGAAGAAGCACCTCATGCGACAAAAAAATATATTAAAAACCCTAATATGTATAATTAATAACCTACTGTTTCACAAATCAGGTTTACTAAAAAGGAACTTCTATACATGGAAATGGATGTCAGATGGGACTTTTAAGAACAATGCACAGCAGGTGACATAGTGCTTAGAGTGCTAGTCTCCCGTATGGTGGAACACAGAGTACTCAGACCTGGTGGTTTGAGAATCACACCAGGAGTATGTGCAGAGGAGAATGGAGAAGGGATTGTGGGGGGGTTGATTTCTCACTTTTCCTCTCAATGTCTCTCTCCAGTGAGTGCATATGCCCTATGGCAACAACCTAAAAAAAAAAATGCACAGAGACTTCCTTCTCTCTCAGGAAGTAGATTCCCCTGCATATTTACACCTTGCCCTGTGGAAGAGGGCCACAGCTCCTTAGCCTCGGGAACCCATGCCCTCAGCTCCTGAAGACAAAAGCTAACATTGGTTCTGAAATCACTGACTGGCAGGATCATTTGGCTATTGGAATAAAATTTCTCACAACATTTTTAGAAAGTTTACTTCCTCCAATAGAAAAGAAGTGCATTAAGCTATTTTCGCCAAACTCTAATATTCTGTTAGAGACTGGGGACATGCAATGAATTAGGAAAATTATCTCATCTGCGTTTTAGCCAGGAGTCATCTATCCATATATTATTTTATTTGTGCTATGCCTCCTTGCTACAGCTCAGTTTTACCTTAAACAGGAGTACCTCCTAGTCTCAATTAGCTTTACTTTATATCTGAACTGTAGCATAAATGTGAATAAAGACTGTCATCCTCAGAGGTAAGCATTCATCTATCCACTGTTTTTTTAGGTGTTTTGTTGTTTCTGTTGTTGTTTGCCATAGGGCATGTGTGCTCGCTGGAGAGAGACAAGAAGGGAAGTGAGAAATCACTCCCTGGGGGATGGCCATGCCACAGTCCATTCTCTATCATTCTCCTCTTGGGATTTTGGGCACTCATGCACATGCACCGAGAATGATTGTCAAGCTGCTGGATCTGGGACACAAACTACCTCAGTCGTGGGGGAGTCCAACACCTTAACCATTGCACCGTCTGCTGGCCCCAACTACCCACTTTTTTAACTTCTCATGAGACACGTATGCTTACTAGCTGATAATCTCTTCTTCCACACTCCACGTTGTCTCCAGGACTGGTTCCTTGGATGATAACTCTACAAATGACAGAAGTGATGATTTATCATTTATATAGAATCACAGATCAATTAAACAAAAGAAAAGAAAGAAGGCTTATCCCAATGTTTCTCAAGTGACTCTCATCCCAGTTGTATAGATTTGTTTGCTTGTTTGTTTTTGCTAAAGGCATGTGCACTGGCTGGACAGAGACAAAGAGAGAGAATGAGAGAGAGAGAGAGAAGAAGGGAAAGTGATAAATCACCCCCTGAAGGGATGGCTATGCCACAATCCCTTTTCTTCCATTCTCCTCTCAAAATTTTGGGCATACACATGTGCCTAAGTCATGTGTTTTTCAAGTCGCTGGGTTCGGGACACAAACCGCAGTCGGCCATATGGGATCCAGCACCGCCACCATGACACAGGCTGGCCCACCAGTTGTGTAGCCCTTCCAAGGCTGGACCTGACTGAAGAATTTTTCTGAATCCACCCTTCCAGACTAAGCTATTAATTTCTCTGAAACACACAGCTTTAAAATGTTTGGTAGGTAGCGACTTGGGCACAATTTCTCCTAATCATTTGCCTCTAAGACTATCGTGCCTAATCACATAAAGAAAGCACTGCTTTTCTAGTGGATATTAGCAGTTTAATTATGTGAGTCAAGTCAAGGAAAGATGTGTCATTGTATTCACTTCAACAAGCGCACTTGGATTCAACATTTGTTGACTGTCTACTGTGTGAAGGATGACATCAGTTTATTACCGTAATTTCTCTCGTTGGCAAACTTTAATGAAGTATGAAGCTTTATCAGTTCAACATGCCCTCTTTGTGGGCTTTATTTAGTAGGCTGACTTGGTCAGCAAGATTCTCTTCTAAATGACGTCCTAAAGGTCTTTCTGAAAGTGAACCACAAAGTTCAACCCGAGACGTAACACCCTCTGCTGGCTCTCCCAGATGGGCCCAGTGAATCCTACACCCTCTGTACAATCCCAGTGTGCTCAGCTTCCTGAAACTCATGTTACAGCTGCACCCTGCCTTCCTCATCCACACACCCACATCCAATGTCTGCCTTCAGACGCACTTGCTGAGGAGGAGGGAGAGAATTATGCCGCGGCATTCAATACCGTCTGCAGCTGCTCGTTATATATATATCGGATTTCCAACCCCAGGGTGGGCATAACTGACTTCCTTTCATACAGAACAGCTTCTCCACAACTCCAACACGGCCAGTCAAAAACAGTTAGGAATTCATTTTTAATTCACAGGGAGTGTTAGTTTCCATATTGACAGTTGTCTGGGCATTTCAATTGAGGCCCTGAAATTTAGGCACATTTTCAAGTGAAAATGTGATGGTTGAGAACAGGGACATCACTGCTGAATCGTAGACAAATTTTATTATAGAGTATGACAGAGTAAATGCTGTTAAAAGACAGGTAATTATGTATGCCTGCTATGTACTCAGCAAAGTATTATGGAATTGAAGTTTAGTAAGTTGGAAGGAGCCTGGAGAAAGTAGTTCTTTATTTACACTGTGCCACACCATGGCTTCTGGGCTGCTGGCGTCTGGGCCTGCCCACTGCTGGACTTCCCAAGGACATGGCTCTCTCCACAAGGGATTCCTCCTCTCATGACTGTGTGATTTGTCACACTGTACACCACAGCAATGGGACAGTAAGAACGCAATTCTCTACCTCAGCGTGAATTCCTAGTGGCCTTGATTTATGTTTCAGAGCTCTTACAGAATATTTTCCCAGAAAATTAACCCTATTAATGTTTCTGGAGGAATGAGAGAAGAAAACAAGTAGCAGGCACAAAATATCTTTTGCATTAAGTGTTGGTCATCGCAAGCTGCTACCTCACACTCCCACCTACCTCCCAGGAGACTGTACGCAGGGGTGGCCCTGTCGAGCTGCAGCCATACAGCTTTGGATACTTGCACTTTCACCATGCGTTTATTTCTTCAGAGAACTCCATTCTGGGTTGTACGTGGCATGAGGGTTCTCACGGTATTAGGAAGTGTAGAAACGCCTGCTCAGAGAGCTGTGTGAGATGCTCAGCCTGAAATGACAAGATAAACACGAGCCTCTTTGTATCAGACACCTGAGACCTCCACTCCCAGCTCACGACACCCTAGCTCTGAGTGACTGACTGACGCTGGCCAGGGGTATTCGAAAGGGGATCCCAGGACCAGCAGCCTCAGTGTCACCTGGGGACTGCTCAGAAATGCAGATCGTCTGGCCCTCCCGCTAGCCCGTGCACCAATAGTCACCAGGGCTCAGACGTAAGCTGGATGGGGCCTGCTGCTCAGGTCCGTGCCTGTGAGACCTGCAGACCCAGAGCACCCAGCAGACCTTCGGACGAGGGTGTCTGAGCAGTAGAGAGTAGCTGGGACAGCCAGGGCACTGAGCAGCAGGCAACTTCTGCAGAGAAACAGCAGGGGGAGCTCCATCTGAAGGAGCCGTCTCAGCGCCTGTCCGAAATCCACAGGGTGGGCAGACAGGTGGACACTCGTGCAGGAGCTGATGCTGCAGTCTAGAGGCAGTTCTTTCTCTCCAGGAAATCTTCCTTCTTCCTTGTGAGGTCCTCGAGGGATCAGACGAGGCCCATGCTTTAAAGGGTAACATCCTTTGCTTAGAGGCAGCTGGTCCTAGATGTCAACTCACCAAAATGCCTTCACAGCAGCACCCAGCTTGGAGTTTCACTAAATCACTGAGCAATGGCAGGGCGAAGCAGACACAGGCCACCACGGCGGACACCACCCAGATGTCAGTTCAATGTGGACGTCTTCTGAGAGCAGCCTTTGATAGAATAGAGACTGCAAGTCCAACCTAAGACTGCAAGTCCCAGACTGATGGCCTAAGTACTGACCATGGGAGTCCCCACAAAGGCAGAGACATGATGCTTTGTCCTAAGGTCTCACCCTTGAGAACATACAGCTAGAAATTCATGTCCGTTAAGTCCACTGTGCCACCTGCCTCAGTCAGCTGGGCTACTGTAATGAAATACCACGTGCTGGGCAGCTTAAACAACATCCACTCCTCTCAGTGTAAGAGTCCGGAAGTCCACGGTCAGGCCACCTGCTGACTCAGTTTCTGAGGAGAGCTCTCTTCCTGGCTCGCAGATGGTCACCTGTGTCCTCACACGGCAGAGAGAAAGCCCACCTCTCTGTCTCCTCTCGTGGCGGCACTAATCTCACCACCAGGGCTCCAATCCCATGGCCTAGGTGCCTCCTGAAGGCCTTATCTACAAAATACCTTGGCATTGAGGGTCAGAGTGTCTTAGAGTGAAAAGTTCAGGAAAGAAAACACAGCTTATCGGCCAGAAAGAGTGCAACGACATGCCAAGAAAATGGCTGAGATGGAAGAGAACCAGGGAGAATGCGGGCAAGGACGAGGACCTGCACAGGGGCCTTCACGGCCACAGTGCTCTGCTCCCTGCCTCCCTGCCAATGGGAGCAGTCTCTGCCACCTTCACATTGTGTGTGATCGCTTCAATCAACAGCCAGGCCAGAAAGGGCCTGAGTGCCCAGGCCCAAGCCACTCTGTTTCACTTCCCTGTTGAGGACAGGGAAGAGACAGAGAGAGACAGAGACTCTGCATGTGGGGTGGGGAGGGCTCAAGTGGAGTATGGAATCAAGCTCTTTCCTGGAAGTCTGCTGGCCCCCATACTGCACTGAGGGTGGGAAAGCATTCTTCTTGCTGTTGCTGTTTTGTAGCTCACACGGGAAGGGGGCGGGGGTGAGAGTGCCCTCTGCTGACCAGCCAGATGCTCAGAGAGCCCTCGGGCAGATGGAGAGAGAGAGAGACAGAGAGTGTGTCAGAGAGAGACAGAGTGGTAGAGATATAGAGAGAATGAGAAACAGAGATGGATGGAGACAGAGAGGGGTGCCCAGTGGGAAATGGGTGGGGTGGAGGTGAGCCCAAGGCAGCTGGGAGCAAGCTTGGCCAGGCGCCAAACCCTCCCAGTGTGCGGGGCATCTGGTGGTAGCCCCACGTCCTCGTGACACCCTCGTTACTGCAGCTGAAGGTGAAGGCACTGCCCAGGCGGGCGACCAAGACTGCTGGGAAGGACGCTGGGAGGGTAGGAGGATGCCGGAAGGGTAGGCGGGCGCCCCTCCTGCTCCCGCTTCTCTCCCAACACCTCTTTCTCAGTGCTTCCACTCATGTCCCCTTTCCCTTTTTTAGATTCCTATGAAGACTCCGTCGTTCTTTGAGATAAACTGCTCAGCTCACTACTCAGTCCGAGAGCCAGGCCTGGGGCCAGCACACTCAGGGAGGTCTCAGGCTGTGAATCCAGAACCATTTGACTGCTGGAAGTTGCCTTTCCCCACGTTCTTCCATTTTCTTTCTCTTTCTTTTTTTCATGCTTTTCACTCTACCCAGACAATCTCAATTTTATAAAACTAAAACCAACCCACATTTCAAGACCCATATTGACAATTCTGCTCCCCTTCCCAGTCTGATCTCCCCTTCCTGCCTGTCACAGAGCCCTGGAGTCAGGACACACTTGGCCTATTTACCCGGTTGTCCACTTGTCTGTCTGTCTTTCTTTCTTTCTTTCTTTTATAAGAGAGAGGAGAAGATAAGAAGAGACAGAAGTGAGTATATGTGACAGGGTCTCACTGTGTCAGGATCCTCTTGTCACTTAGCTAGGATTTTAGGTACACGTGACCATCTGCAGCATGTTCAGGTTGGGACAGGAGCCAAACCCAGGCTTCCGTGTGGCTTCCAGCCTTGCCGTCTGCGCGCCTCTGTGCTGGGCGGGTATGCCTTTTCATTTTTGTATCCACTGAACCTCAGCATTGCCTTCACATGATTTGGTGCCCAATAAATGCTGGTTAACTTTTATTCTTGGGGTCACTGGTGGTCGTTAGGGGGAGAAAAGTCTTCCTACCTGTGGTTTAGATTCAGGAACATGAAATGTGAGCAAAAAGCTGCTACTTAAATGCAAAGTATTACCTGCAGCTTCAGGAGAATTTGTGCATCCGAACCCCAGAGCTCATGAGGAAGTGTGAAACAAAGCCGTCACATCTGCCTGCTACGCGAAAATCTCACCATCTTCATGAGAGCCCAGTGTGTTTTCAGTAATTGAGGGCAGTCCTAAGTATTCTGCCCAGGAAGCCATATTTAACTTCTCATACAGGTTCAAGTTTCAAACCCACATAGAAAAAATGAAGGGCACCATTTTCCCACACCCACGGGTTGGTGGGCCAGAGCCTGCACACAGAAGCAATCTCTGCACTATCAGGTTCTGAGCATAAATCACAGTGATTAAAATGCATGGTTGTACTTTCTAATTTAATAGCACCCGTGAGGAATAAACGTGAAAGGTGACATAAATCCCCGAGATTATATTACATTGTCTGCCTCCAAATGAAACTTTCACCAGTTTCCTAACGCCCGTGCGGAAGGTTTGCCCTCCATGAAATGAAGTTTTGGCTCCAGTATAGTTTGGGGATCTCTTTTTAAAGTAGTTACAAATGGAGCATAATTGTCTTCCTAGCATATGGCAGGCCTACTTCAGCTGCGTATGGCGTGTCTAGGGCACAGACAGGTCAGAGCACCCCTTTAGGAGGCCGCCTCAGGAACCCGTTGCTCTTGCACGACCATCATTCTCCTTAAGCAGAACCAATAATAGGGCAAAACAGCCATTAGCTGCAGAACAGTGGCCAACAGAATCCTATTGCAAAAAGCAAGTATTGTTTTCAGACAAGAAGCTCTACAGTCTGGGGCTGGAGACCCAAAGCAGGCCTGGCCATTTACCATGCAACATAACAAAGGGGCAAAAATGTGGATGACAGAAGATAGGAGAATTTACTACAGCATGGCCACACTGGGAAGACAAGGAAGAGTGTCTTCAACCGTGAGCCAACTTACAGGTGCTTCTATGGGGAAGGAGATGCTGTGAGGCCAACAGCTATCTATAGAAAAGCAAAAGCAGGAGAAACAATAAGAGAGGCATGACATTAGTGGGACACCTGCTGATGATAACACGTATAGTATGCTCAACTGGACTGGCCTAAGAAGTATTTCATGTTGGATAAATTCCCCTTACAAACTGAATGATATATAGCAATTGAATGTTTTTTAAAAAAAATAAAAATAATAAAATAATAATCATGAAAAATAAAGCATAGACCAGGTTCAGTTTTACCTAGGGGCACACTAGAGTGATTCGTCCTCAAGACAGGAGCTCCATGTCCTCGCTGGGCAGGGCGTCCTCTGTGGTTTCCAGCTCCAGGTGTCGGTCTCTTTGGGGTTCCTATGAGAAATCTCAGAGTATCAGGCTGGGAGGAAAACAATTTTTGATTTAACAAGATGGAGTCAGGTGGGCTAAAGTGGATCCCTATCATAATATTGATCGGTTCTGGGAAAATGGATACATGGGTTTGTGAATCTGCATACACACGGATACCACTTGGCATCTTGTTCCAAGACAACAGTGACTCCTGATGTGAAAGGTCAGTATATTCTGGAAAAGCAGAAAACCAAGGGCAGTAAAGGACTTCTAAATAGAAGTCAGATGTAAATAAAAGATCAAGTACTTTTTATTGCAGGCTCCAGGATCCAGTTACATCAGAATTTAATAGTGGAGTTAATATATCCATGAACTAAATTTCTGGTTTTTAAATGTTGTTATTACATTATAGCAACATTAATAGAACTATAAATAAAATGTGCTCATCATCCCATGACTTCAACATGTCAAACTGCATCTATTGGCCCATTATTTCTTCTAGTCCCTGTTATAGAAAGATATAACTTTTGCTTATCTTAAAGTACATTGCAATTAAGAAGTACTTGACATTTTAAATCAATACAGAGTGTTTGGAATGTTTTAACCTCAGCATTTTGACCCTGAGGATATTTAGACTCTATTTATCAATAAAAACATTTTCCTCAGAATTATAGCAACATTAAATGCTATTAAACCAACATAATCCTTTGATCAGTTTCCTAGACCACGTAAGTGAACTGTTCGCAATTTTTTTCTCATTGGGATCAATTCTTTTCCATGTAAATTTCACAACACAAATTTGATTCATTGATTTTTGGGGGGGAAACCATCAAATTTTTATCGATTAACATTTTTGTCCTGAGAATTTTCTTAAGAGGTTACAATTTCTTCCAAGCCTCATGCTCTTCATGTGAAGTTTCAGCTAACAGCTTTGAGTTTATTGTTTCTACCAGGGCCAAATTTTCCTGATAATACACGTAACAAACACCGAAGTGACTACAGTTGAGTCAAAATACTCTGCTTCATTTATACACACTTCGCATAATAAGACTTTCCTCTTGTCTCTCACAGAAACAACTGCAGGTGACTAAAACCCAGCTTCTTTGCTTGGTGCTTCGAGACCTGCCTCAGCTTTCTCTTTAAAAGCAATGAGGGGGAGCTGGTGGGGTTAGACTACGCATCAAGGGAAGTACAACCCGTGAGTCACCTTCTTAGACAGTTACTTGGGTTGGCATGACATGAAAAGGAATAGCCCAGCAAGGGTTATCAGAAGAGCGAGTATGTATTCTAAGAACAGCAAAGGCCCTGTAACCCAAAAAGTTAATGAATGGTGCCTGAGTTGAATGCCAATGAGAGCTGCCACAATGTCCACACAGTCTCTCTTTTTTTTTTCTTTTGTGGTGAGAACACAAAGAAAAAAACTTGCAACCTACCTGCTTAAAGTTTAAGTGCCCCACACAGTACTGCTACCTATAGGTACAATGTTGTGTAGATCTCTGGGACTACTCATCTTGCATAGCAGAAACTTGGTGCTGTTCAACAACTTCCCGTCTCCCTTCCCCCAGCCTCTGGGAGTCACCCTTCTGCTCTCTGCTCTTATGTTTGTGGGCCTCGCACATTCCACCAGCAGAACGTCTTCCAGGTTCATCTATGCTATTGCAAAGGATGCCCTTTTTCAGGCTGTGTAATATTCCACTGTGTACACACACCTCATTTTCTTCATCCATTCATCTGCCTATGGACACAAGATATGCCTCCTGAGTCCACTGCTTGGCTCCTGTGAATAACGTGGCAATGAACATGGGAGTGCAGACAACTGGTATCCTGATTTCGGGTCTTTAGAGTATATACTACACCCAGAAGTGGGATGCCTGACCCATACAGCAGTCCTTTTATATCTATAGCTGTACAGAGAGAAAAAAAGAGGTTTCTGCTATAGGGCATGTGTGCTCACCAGAGAGACAGAAAGTGAGAAATTACCCTCCAGGTGGGGATGGCCATGCAGTAATCCCTTCTCCTCCATCCTTTCTCTTGGGAGATTTTGAGTATGCACACACATGCATCCAGTGTAGTATTAAGCTGCTGGATCCAGGACTTGAATCACAGTTGACTACGTGGGAGTCCAACAACATAACCATTCCGTCACCTGTTGGTCCAACGCAGTTCTATTTTTAATCTTTTTAGGAATCTACAAACTGTTTTTGATAGTGGCTGCACCATTTTATTCCATACATTCTCACGACAGTGTGCAGTGGTTCCAATTTCTCCACCTCCTCACCAACTCTGATTGTCCTTTCTTGTTTTGATAACTGCCATCCTGACAAGTATGAAGTGATTTAGTTTGTATTTCCCCAAGGACTAGGGATGTTGAGCATCTTTTAAAATACCTGTTGAGCACGTGCATGTCTTCTTTGGAGACAAGTCTATCAAGTGTTTTGACTATTTTTTTGTTTGCGTTTGTGCCCTCTTGCTACTGAGTTGTAGGAGGCCCATGCTGTCTTCCAGAGCTTTCTCATGTCACCTCTCCCAGTTAGGTCCATCTCCTGGGGACACGTCTCAGTCTGGTGTGAGGTAGGTACACTCTCCTGTCTTCCAGATGGCTACACGGTTGTCCCAGCATTCTCTCTCAACAGTCCATTCTCCTCCCACCACTCTACAATGCCACCATGGTCATAAACTGACCGTCTGCACATCTGTGCCCAGGCTCTGTGTTCTGCCTCTGTGTCTGTTTGTTCTTTTCTGTTCTTTTTCACCAGAGGCTACATGCATGCTAGAGAGTGAGAGACAGGAAAAAAAGAGAGAGAGAGGAGAGAGAAAGCACCACTCGACAGGGCCTGGTCACATTGAAATTCTTTTTTTCCCTAATTCTCCATTCCGTCAGGATCCTGAGTGGACATGTACGTGTGTGGTGTGTTTTTAAGCCACTGGGACCAGGATTCACCCACCATTAGCCATGTGGGATCCGGCCTCCTCTGCACAGTGTTTAACCATTGCTCTACGGGGCTGCCACTTTTTTTTTTTTTTTTTTTTTTTCTTAAACACTCTCTTATTTCCTAGGGCATTATGAAGACATTCTTCCCATGTTGTTAAGAAAGGACTGCCACCCTGTACTTCTTAAAGTTGACTGGGTTATTCTGTTTTTCTGTGTTTTTTTTTTTTTCTTCTTTTCTTGCTGGAGAGAGACAGAGAAAGTGTGAAAGCGCCCCCCATGGGGGATGGTCACATTGCAATCCCTTCTCAATTTCCCCATTCAAGACTTCTGGGCACCCAGGTACACACAGGCATTCAAAAAGTTTTTCAAGTCACTGGGTCCAAGATGCAACCATGCAGCTGCCCATGCAGGATCAAGTTGCCTTCACCACTGTATGCCACGGGCCGGCCCTGGTTATTCTCATGTTTATGTATGTGTTAGTTTGTGCCAGGTTCATTGATTTAAGATCTAAGAGGGGTTCTGTATAATAATAATATTAGGTGTCAGCAGGTGGTGCGGTGGTTATAAGGTGCTGGATTCCCACATGGTCAACCATAGGTTGGGTTGCTTGAAAATAATGCCAGACATATGTGTGTTCATGCCCAAATTCCCAAGAAGAGAAAGAAGGAGAAGGGATTGCAGTGTGGCCATCCCCTCTAAGGGGTAATTTTGCACTTTCCCTCTCCCCATCTCTCTCTTCAGTGAGTGCACAGTCCCTATGAAAAAAATCTGAAGGAAAAAAACACTACCAGGACCAGCCACGTGGCATGGTGGTTAAGGTAGCTGGATCCCACGTGGCCAACTGTACAGCTTGAGTTACAGACCCCAGAGGCTTGAAAAGTTTGCCAGGCATATGTACCTGTGTACCCAAAATTCTGAAAGGAGAAGGGATTGCAGTGTGGCCATCTCCCATGGAGGGTGCTTTCTCACTGTCTCTCTCTCTCCTCTCCCTCTCTTTCTCTAGTGAATGCACACACTCTCTGGCAAATTAAAAAACAACAACAACAACAAAGCACTATGAGTGGATTTCAAAACATATTTTGCACCATAACAAACTCATGCTTTTATTCCATTTTTACACAAATGTTTCTAAAACTCCTTGTAACTGCAAATGGTCACCTTTGTTAGGCACAATTAGCTTCCCGGTGTGTTTCCAGTCTGTTCTATCCCTGTGTAGGTACATCTCCTGTGGGTTAGGTGTCCACCTCCGGGGCTGTGGTACCTGCAGGGGCAGTGTCAGGCGGGGCAGCAGACTCGCAGTCCTCAGTCCTCGCTTTGGCTATTCCCAGATGTGTGCCTCTGGGCATTTACCTGAGCACAGCTCCTCCCTGTAAACCGTCAGCATTATACCACCTACGCCGCTGTCAAAGGACTCAGCAAGACACAGTAAAGCTTATCGTGCAGTGCCTGGTACCCAAAAGCTCTCAATTTTTTTGAATGAAAAGTTATTATTATTACTTCCTGGTGACTTTTCCACTTTCTCCTCAACCAGTATTAATACAGAAGGAAATCACAGGTGCTCACTTTGCCCCGAGTCTGTGGGCACCTTTCTGAATCAGACACGAAACGCTGTCCACACCCCCTGCTGCAGCTCACCTCACCACTCCACACCAACAGTAACTGCGCATCTGCTTTCTGCACTTCTCAGGGCTCACAGTCACCAGAGGCCAGAGGTGAAGTCAGCAGGGGCCACACGTCTGGGCCAAGCAGGGAGAAGGCGGTCAAGGGCCCATCGACCACCATTCCCTGAGACTTCAGTCTGGCACCCGTGCAAATCCCAGCCTCTGCACTTTGCTCAGAGCCTGCGGGTCTGCACAACATCCTCAGGAACGGAGGGGCACCCGCTCTGTGGAGGCCCAGGTCTGGCCTGAGTACCTTGTTTCTCACGTTTCACTGTTAGCAGGCCTGCGGTTGTCTGTAGCTGCTCCTTGAACCTAGTTTCCCCCCAGAGCAGCCTTTTCTTCTGGAACCTTCCCCAGCGTTCCTGCAGTGGACATGTAAGGCCTACCTTAGGCAATCAGTGAACTGTCTGACCACATTTCTCCACAG